TTGTTTTCAAAACACAGACATTTATTATTTGTTGAGAAAAATGATTTTAAAGAAATAAATCTTATCTTAAAAGAAATGATGACATAATCTATGATTTCGCTACTCTTTCACAACTGTATGAAAATATTATTAAACAAAAGATTTTGATAAATTTATAAACATTTTTTCAATTTAAAATATTTTTTATCATAGATTTTTTGATATTTATGTATTTTGATTTATTTGCAAAAATAAAACTGATTTTATATTTGATTAATGATTAAAATATTATTAATTCTTATCTATTTTTCTCGTTTTTTATTTATTAGACTCTGATTTAGCTTATTATATAAAATATTATTAAAAAATATATGAGAAAATAAAGTAAAAAGTTTATAATTCATGACTCCATTAATCACATACTGTTTGTTGCGTAAAATAATGTTAATTTATATAATATTTTAATAGTGCCTTTTTATATCTTATATTAGAAACAAAGTTAAGAAATATTCAAATTAAGTATATTTTAATATAACATAAGTAGCGCTAAAAATGCTTTCGAAAAGGGAGTAATCAAAAGGAAATTTACATTTGAATAATGTTTAAAACACTTTATTCAATAGGGGTTTAAGCTTTTTATTATTTTCCTGTTTCCATGATGAATTATTTTCATAGAAATAATTTATAATATTTTGTTATATAATTTATACAGGTTTATAAGTTAATTGTAAAATATTATATTTATATAAAGCTTAATAATAACAACATATTTGTTTCAATATTTTGGCTTATATTTAATAATATTTGTTGAATTTAAATTTTTCATATTGCTTTATTTTTGTGAACTAATATTCTCATAAAATAAAAATCGTATACAAATAGCTTAAAAAATAATATATAATTTTGAGATGAGTACTGTAGTAGTAAGACAAGATTTTGATTATTAGATTTTGTTTTACTTTTATTTTATTTTATAACTCCGCGACCATTTTTTGATGTATTATTACTGGGAATAACTAATAGATTTTGAACACAAGTCAAAATCTCAATAGCCTTTGGCTTTTATTTTAAGTCTTATGAAATTCAAATTTTTATACAATTCTCTCTCTCTCTCTCTCTCTCTCTCTCACTCACTCACTCTCACTCTCTCACTCACTCTCACTCACTCTCTCACTCACTCACTAAGTCACTCACATTTTTGTCAATAGAATTGGAAATTCTTCTAATATATTAATTTCAATTTCAAATCCAAACTCTAATCCAAAACTAAATTTCAAAATATTTTCTCTCTTTTAGTAAATATCGATTCTTACGTCTTGTTTATACATTGAATAAAATGTGTGTTTCAACCAAAAAATATATTTCACACTTTTTTATTCACTAATATTATTAGCATATTTTCGTGTTATGTTGTGGGCTACTTAGAAAATACATTTATTGAACATTTAATGTCGAAAATACCTTTAAGAAAAAATAGTTGTAACTTGTCACTACTTTAATAAAAAGGTGTAAATTAAACACATACTATTCACACATTTACTCTATTCATGCAAAAAACATCATTCAAAAATAAGTCCAAATTAAATATCGAGAAAATTTGGTTTAAGTTTTTCTGTTGAATGAAACAAACATTTTGTATTCAACACACGAATCGGCGGTACAAAAGAGGTTATCATTAGTTGTATTCAAATATCTAAAGAAGCAAAAAATCTTCTCGATAGACTTGAAAATCAATTTGTTATTATTGTAGTGAATGTGTAGTAAGAAAATTATATATAAACTGCAAATTAATATCGATTTTTTGTTTTTTCATACATATAGTGCGCTCGATGAATAAAAATAATGATTTGATTTAATGCATGAACTCTAACCCATACGTCAAACATCTAATCATTTGTTTAGTGCAAAGGGATGGCCAGGGATTATGGGGTTTATGGCAATACAAGCAAAAAATTTCGTGACATAAGAAAGTTAGCGTCATTTCCTACATATTAATGACATTTTATATTATCATTATGTTTGGAAATTATTAAGATTTTGAAATTTTAAATAAAAATAATTCTATAATATTGTTCTCAACATAATATGTTCATAATTAAATAATATTATAATTATATTAAATTCTATTTTGTATATACTTGTATATGTATTTTATAATTCAATTTAAAATTATGTCTATTCAAACTTTAAAAAATCAAATTTTAAAATTGTTTAAAAAATTATTTAATAAATATTTAGTTTACTGATTCATCGTAAGCAGGTTAAATATTTATAATTGATAGTTGTCAGTTCCCTCACTCATTTAAACACCTGGATACTGTTTGATAGGTTATTATTTAAAACTACTACAAATCAATCAATTAAGGTTTGTTTCAGACTATTTTTTCTATTCATTTATCTATATATACTATATTATATAGGCTGTCATTTAATAGTGTGAAAGTCAACGCTAAACACGATATAAATCATTTATCATCGGAATAAAACACAAAACAAAACATATTTTACGGAAAAACTTAAATATAAATCACATAAAAGTATATAAAAGCAAAAATTTTGTGAACACGAATATGAAAATTAATATCTATTTTTTCAATGTGTCTGTCCCTCTGTCTGGCTCTCATTCATCGCACAAAATATACTTTTTATTTGTCAATAAATATTGAATTCTAAGCAATGAAAACGATCTCTTCTTTTCTTCCATTAATGTTATTCTGCGATAAAATTTAGTCAATAACTACTCAATGAAATATTGGATGCAATGAATTCAATGATAGATAGTTTGCTGAAAGACTGTGTCAGAGAGTCAGGAGAGAGAGAGAGAGAGAGAGAGAGACTGAAGAGCTAGTGTACGGAGAAGTATAGCACTGATAGGAAAGGATGCTTTAGAGTACATACTGTGGTGTTGAGTATATCCTAAAATTTGTGAGAGTATTGTCTGAAAGGTCTGGTACTGTATTAGAGTCTACGCATGATTTTCCACTACTGAATGGACTGGAAATATTCTTGCGATACAGAATATACAGAATATTCTCACTTTGTATGGGAAAGTGAATAACAAAACTATTTGATATATAAGTGTCTAAATGATAGATATATATAGTGAAAGGGAACGGTGGGAGCAGTTATCAGTTTGGTGTGTGAACTTGCAATACAATATGATGTATATTATATTCAATGTATTAACTGTTAGTTCCAGTGCTTTCATATGATTTCTCGTGTGAATTCATATTTCTCACAATCTATTGTATAAATACAGTGTTTGCTCTCCTTTTGTGTTATGAAAAAAATTGTTTATTGAAATTTGATCTCATTTTCTCTCAATTTAATCATCACTTCTCGTTCACTCAGTCCATAATATCTCTAACTTTTCATAACTCAAATCTTTTGGATCTAATTCTTTGTGTGCTTTTGGTATTACTGTTCACTAAAATCTGTTTGTGTTATGAAAGCAAAAGTTTTCTCCATTCTTATCAACGTTTGTACTTTTTGTGTGTATTTTTGACATTAATTGATTGATTTGTAGTTAATATGAAAGTATTCATAATTTCACGGTGTGCTTGACAATAATTCAAGTTAACTTGTTTTCATACTAGTATTTATTTTTGTTAAAAAGTTTTCAAATGCTAATAATATTTATATAATTACTGAATGTGTGATAAGATGTCTTTGTTATAGCATTAGTGGAGTTTTCATATAAGAAAATAAGGTATTGTCTAATACTTCTCATTATTATTATTTGACATTTAAATATGAAATTCTTGCTTCAAATTAATTATACGAATTCTATACTACATATGATATGCGATATTGTCATATAATAAAGCCATAAGATTTATCTCATTCTTAATGTTTGACTAATTTTTACCACAAATTATTTATTAATATATCAAAACAATAAAAAGACAATAGTATAACATAAAATATTATATGCTATAAACAGTTTATTAAATTTAGTGTCCAAGCAATTACTGCTATTAATCATTAAATTATTTCGGTTAACATAACATAGAAAACTATTTTTGAAAAGTCTTTTGAAATAATTTACTACAGTATTGTATGATAGTAAAATATAACTTTATGTCAATTCAATATATTTTGATGTATTAATCAAAGAAACTTATAATGCCTTAAATTTTAACATCATTTCAAATGTCAGTGTAGGCGTGTGCGGTCTGGGATTCAATATACAAATTAAGGTTATACTACTTTTTACAACCTTTATTGATGATTCAAATTTTTATTTTAATTAAATTTTTAATTAACTCTTTATGACAGTAATTATGAAAACAATTAGTGATAAAAATGTGAATATATTACATATTCTCATCACTTATCCTTGATATTACATTTGAATGAAAATTGAATCCCATTAGTGATAAACATCTTATTACAATTGTAATACACCATTTAATTGGAAAGTTTTAAAAGTCTGTATATCTTAATGTACCTTTCTCGAATTAAGCCAATTAAAATAAAATTAAAATTATATAAACTTTATGATAATAAAAATTATAATTTTTATAAAAAGTGAATATACATCTTTATAAAAATTTATATAAAAATTAGAGGTCTAATGAAATTTTTAAAAAAAGTTTATTAATTTGTTAAATTAGTATGTAAATTTTAATTAATTAATTTAATTAATATCTTATTATAATACAGTATTATATTACTCAATTTTGGTACACTGTACCGTATAGGTTTGTGAGAGTTTGGTAGAAGGGAGGCTTGAAATAACAACCCCCTAAAACCAGCCCTCATTATAAGGCAAATATTTTATTATTAATCACAAAAAACATCACAAAAACTTTTGTGAAGAACATTACTTAACATTAATCTCAATTATATTCACTTTTTAGATATAATAACAATATTAAGAAGAAGCGAAGAAATTATTTTTCGCTGAAAACACTTTTCTTTCTCTCTTAACGCATAAATTCATTGGGAATTCAAAGTGTGAATAATTTTTGCGCTAAAAAGCGCTTAAAACACATTATTAAGTGCAGTCAACGTGAGTGATGTCGGCAATGGATGTCATGTCCTCATCACCAGTTCCCTCACAGCTGTTGACGACCATTGGGACGGCCAACACGACAGCCATGTCCGGGAACAGTACCATAAGGGATGAGAACCTGGCGCTGGTAGAAGTGGCCACTTTGGGCACACTATTCGTGTTAATTGTTTTCGGCAACTGTTGTGTACTCTTAGCGCTGGCATTACGGCCGCTGAAGATGACGCGAATGTACTACTATTTACTGCACCTCTGTATCAGTGATCTCATCACCGGCTTCTTCACGGTACTGCCCCAACTGGCCTGGGATATCACCTACCGGTTCAATGGGGGCAACGTTCTGTGCAAAGCGGTCAAGTGCATGCAAATCCTGGGGCCGTACCTGTCGTCGTACGTGCTCGTGGTGACGGCCATCGACAGGTACCAGGCCATATGCTTCCCGCTGTCCAACTGCAGTTGGACCCCCAGGCGCTCCAAGCTGATGATAGCGTGTGCCTGGCTCATCTCCATCATCTGCAGCCTCCCGCAGGCGTTCATCTTCTCGTACCAGGAGATCCCGTATATGGTCGGTGTGTATGACTGTTGGGGTACATTCCCGCAGCCCTTTGGTGAACGCATTTACGTCACGTGGTATGCCGTCAGCGTCTTCTTCATACCGTTGATTGTATTGATTTTCACGCATTTCTATATCTGTCGCGAGATATGGGTTAACGTAAGCCTTAAACGCAAAACCGATAAAAACCGAGAGAAACAGTTCAATGATTACAATCACAGCAAACAAGGCGATAGTAATTCACACAATAATTACAATAAAAGCGTTAATAATAGTCATAAATCATGTTCGCGATCGCGCCGGTGTCTCTTGATAGGCATCGATCGTGTCTATAGACTGGCCGCTCGCAGAGCACCGACCCATACGTACGGCACGCGAGCCGCTAATGACGACACGCTATGCACCGATTGTACGGTTGAGGCGGAGACCTCCCAGGATCACGACCAGGCTAACAGACCCAAACACTGTGTCATCACATTCAAGGAGTCCATTCACAGCTCCAGTCCCAGAGTTAATACTGTGAACCGACTGTCCAGAGCTAAGATCAAGACCGTTAAGATCACTGTCGTTGTCATCCTATGTTATATCATATGCTCCTCGCCTTTCATTTTTGTCCAGTTGTGGGCCTATTGGGTGCCCAGCGCTCAGAACTCTGCTTTTTGGACAGGTAGGCAATCATTAATTAGACTTTTTTCAAATATTGAGAAATTCATTTCATACACATTCATATCTAGATAGAATTTAATTAAAATTTAACCAATTTTATACTTAATGTGAGACTTAAGTGACTTTAATGTCGTTTTTGGTAACCATTAAATGCATTGAGAAAACAGTTTCCTATAACTTAATCCTTCAATCATTTCTTTGGTCTCAAAGTCTGACAACTCTTTCTACGTTCAGAAAAATAGTAGTAATAGTAGTTTGGATTGAATGTTACGAAATCCTACGAAATCATGTTTTTCGTGAAAACACACAAAATTGATTTCTCTCTCTCTCTCTCTCTCTCTCTCTCCATCCCCTCCCCACACAACCACTTATTACTCTCAGTTTCTTATCAATGGTTTAAAAACGGATTTAAAATTGAATCTTTGATTGTATGTCAAGAGATTCAAAAAGTTCAATAAATTTTTTAAGAGAAACTATTTTTCTCTTTCTATACACTATTTTTCTATCAATGATTTCAGAGCCAATCCCTAAATAATAGTCGAGTGAAGGAATGTTCGCTTTGCTGAGTCCTACTTTTCCCTATGATTTCATGATCTCTTATATCGAAGTTTTATACAGTATTATACAAAAATCATATTTCATTGGCTTTAAATGTCAATACATTGTATATGATTTCTGGAAAATAATTTTTCAATCACTTAATAAATTCACGTCAAGGGCCAAAATTTGGTGTTTATGTAAACAAGCAAGGTGGTGTAAATATGCACTTGATATTTACGAAATGAATTTATTTTAATAAATGATACATTATAAACGATTCTATAGTAAACAAAATATTTAAGGTATAATTTCTACCAGTTGCCATAAAGCATACTTGATTAAATATAATCACAATATAAATTTGATATGCAAGTATAAAAATAAGATAATAAGGATTTTTGTATTGATTTCATGCTATTGAATACTAGGAAGACATTGCATATCAAATGAAAAAACAAATAATTGATTATTTGGTTGAATGCGAGAATATATTCTTCCGCTTCACATATGAGGCCCTAAAATAGAATCGGAATATCCTTTTGAAGTACCGATACTTCTCTCATCATAAGAGCATTTCATTTACAAACGGCTGTACGACAAGAAAATTAGTCAAATATTTATCATTGATTTTAGCGCTACTTTACACATAACTTTAGCTTACATATAACTCAACGCAAAAACAAAATCGATAGTATATTGACATTTACTACAATTAGATTAGATTTAATTCTCATTAAAAATGCACTTTTAGTGATTAGCCCGGGCTATTGGCCCGGCCTATAGTCCTATTCCTATAACGACTTTAATGTCTTTTTTATAATAACATTACATTAATCGTAAGACACTTTGAAATACTATTTCTCTCGCCAATGGACTGGACAGACATTTCAAGTAACAAATCATTGGATATAGTCGTTAGGCAAAGGGTATAACAAATGAACACTTTTTCTCATTGTATCATTTGGTCGATAGTCACACACCACTGCTTCACAACTAAATTGAAAGACCAATACTATTGAGTAAAGTTTTAGATTAAAAATATAACTAAAGAATACGATATAAGGAATATTCTGTACGTATTTCTTGAATAAAGGAAAGTCTTAATCAATCAAAAACGCTTTTAGATCTCTTATGTGGGGTTATTATACATTTTTGTGTGCAATACCTTAAGGTAGACGTCCACCTTTTACAACTATAATAAATTGCTATTTTTAATATTTTAATGCTATTTGATTATGAATATTGTATATATTATAGTTACAGTACATTTATTATTTCGCCTACATTTATGGGATTTAAAACTTGAAAGTTTGAAATATTTATGATTATTTTGTTCAAATAAATAGCGTGTGAGTGATTCTGTCAATGTCTAAAAAATAAAAATTACATTTGAATTGTTTGCATAAAAATATTGAGCTGAAACAATCATATTTTATTGAAGGTTTTGACAAATATATGATTAATGTATCCCTATATTTTATGTAACAAATAAAGTCTATTTAATAGACAGTACATTTTCATTATTTCGATTAAAGTACCTTTTATACGATTTGGATGTATTTTACTCAATTATATTAAACTTGAAATAATATTAAACTTTATTTTTAAAGATAGTTTACTAAGTTATACCTTTGACTTTTTTTGTTAAACTAATCTGATAACAAATATTTATTACAGACTTTAGTGCAGAATCCTTGAAATGCCATGTAAATATGTATTTGAAAAATTTAAGACATTTACTGATAGTCATATAATATTACAAAATACATATAACATATAATTAGGTAATGTAAACAAATGCATTTAAATTTTCCCTTAAGTATATGACAGAATTAACCTAACATTTAATTAGCTACTCTAGTATAATTTTAAAGATTTAAATTTTAATTAACACATTACAACATTAATAAACATTTTACATTAGTATAATTTATAAAATTCTACATTTAGTATCGTTTTTACTTAACACTAATTTTGTGATATAAATGATATATGTATTATATCAGTATATGAATTAATAAATATTTTCAAAATATACTGTTCAATATAACATAATTTTAAAGTATGACATACAGGAAGAAAGTGGGAGAGAGAGAGAGAGAGAGAGAGAGACATTATAGCCTTTGAACAATATTAGCTCCATATAGTCTACTTTAGAAATTGGTTATTATATTGTTTGGTACAGTATATATGGATTAGAGACATAAAATACTTTTATTGAGAATGAGATTCCTTTCTTAAATAACAACAAAAATAAACCGCTTTTTAGGTATTTTGTAAAATATATGGCCTCTACAATAGACACATTTATTATAAAATAACAAAAACCTAAATGGCATAAAGTCCTTTAAATCCAGTACCGATCACATCATTACAGTACTATACTATAGGATATATATTGGGGTTCCTATTAATTTTCACTACAAATGATTAGAAAACCAGAATTCATACATGATATACATGTAATAACTATTAAACACTTGAAAAACTCGTCAAAAAATCATTTGCATAAATTTCCAATAAAATAGCTGTTATTAAATATTATTCAATAGATAATTAGATAAAATATAAAATTCCGATCATTAATCCTTTGGCACATTTTTATATTAACCAATACCTTACGTGTGATCATCACTAGTGGTGTGTACGGAATATTTGGCACAAATATGTCATCAAATTTATGATAAAAAGGATAACAAGAATTTATGAAAATATATATAAATATTGACATTTAAGAATATTCCTTATATCCATGAAAATAAGAATTTATTTTATGTTTAAACCGATACTAAAAATAATACTTTAAATGAGAGAGAGAGAGAGAGAGAGAGACTATGTGTTAGTGAACGAGATGTCAATATTTATATATATTTTCATAAATTCTTGTTATCCTTTTTATCATAAATTTGATGACATATTTGTGCCAAATATTCCGTACACACCACTAGTGATGATCACACGTAAGGTATTGGTTAATATGAAAATGTGCCAAAGGATTAATGATCGGAATTTTATATTTTATCTAATTATCTATTGAATAATATTTAATAACAGCTATTTTATTGGAAATTTATGCAAATGATTTTTTGACGAGTTTTTGAAGTGTTTAATAGTTATTACATGTATATCATGTATGAATTCTGGTTTTCTAATCATTTGCAGTGGAAATTAATAGGAACCCCAATATATATCCTATAGTATAGTACTGTAATGATGTGATCGGTACTGGATTTAAAGGACTTTTAGGTTTTTGTTATTTTATAATAAATGTGTCTATTGTAGAGGCCATATAATTTACAAAATGCCTAAAAAGCGGTTTATTTTTTGTTGTTATTTAAGAAAGGAATCTCATTCTCAATAAAAGTATTTTATGTCTCTAATCCATATACACTGTACCAAACAATATAATAACCAATTTCTAAAGTAGACTATATGGAGCTAATATTGTTCAAAGGCTATAATGTCTCTCTCTCTCTCTCTCTCTCTCTCTCTCTCTCTCTCTACACTTTCTCTGTATGTCATACTTTAAAATTATGTTATATTGAACAGTATATTTTGAAAATATTTATTAATTCATATACTGATATAATACATATATCATTTATATCACAAAATTAGTGTTAAGTAAAAACGATACT